TGCCTGCTTTGGACAGCAAAAAGAACATTCCCCATCTTCCAGAGATGAGGTCTCAGCCTGTTTTCCAGGCTGGTCTGACATTGCTGGGCTTAAGTGATTCCCCTGTATTGGCTCCCAGAGTGTTGGGATGACAGGTATGAGCCACCACTCCCAGCCTGATGCTTTTGAAACATACGGTATTTAATAGTTTCTGTGGCATTCTTTTGTGAACATTAGCCAAAACTTTTTAAAACCACTCCCAATTGCATTTTTTATAGTACTGTAGGACAGGAGTTGGCAGACTTTCTGCAAAGAGCCAGATAGTTAAATATTTGGGCTCTGCAGGGCCATGTTTTCTGTCACAGCTACTGAGCTTCACTCTTGTAATGCAGGAGCGTCCATAGACAACAAGTAAACACATAGGCATGGCTGTGCTCAATCTCTTTATTAATACAAATAGATGGGTTATGGGCCACAGGTGCAGACCCCCACCATGGAGTATGTTTTCTGAGACTTAATGTTTCTAGTGATTTACCCCCTTATTCTAAAATTAGGGCACTAAGAACTTCAGTTAGTTGAAGTATTTGGTTTGCTGGGTTACTTTGTTAGAGATGTTAATTGTATCCTAACTTGACTTGTGATTCTAACCTGATTGTCAGCAGAGCCCTTGTTAGGAATTAGAGCTGAAGCTTGATTAATGTTGTTTTTACTACTCTTTCCTGACATGACTCTACAAAAGTCTTTTGACCTCAGAGGCCATAAATAATATACTTTGTTTCTGTTTTTAGAACTGACATAGATATGGAAGTCATTTAATCTAAACTCCTTTTCTAGATGAAGTAGCTATAGCCTTTAGAAGTTAAATGATCTGGGCTGGGCACAGTGGCTCATGGCTGTAATCGCAGTACTTTGGGAGGCTGAGGTGGCGATCACTGTGGAGGTCAGAAGTTCAAGACTAGCCCAGCCAACATGGTGAAACCCCATCTCCACTAAAAATATAACAGTTAGCCTGGTGTGGTGGTGGATGCCTGTAATCTCAGCTACTTGGGAGGCTGTGGCAGGAGAATTGCTTGAACCCCAGAGGTGGAGGTTGCAGTGAGACTGGAGCTCCATTGCATTCCGGCTTGGGCAACAGAGTAAGACTGTCTCCAAAAGAAAAGAAAAAAAAAAAAAAAAAAAAAAGCTAATTGATGTACTTAAATTAGCTACATAGTGGCATGTGTAGAATAAGTCATATCCTGACTGCCAGACTTTTTTCACCTGTAGCCTTCTACTTAATGTATGCCCCTACCCTTAGCCACTGACAGCAAATATGGGCCTGAAGGTCTTATTAGATTCTTGAAGTCCTGAAACGAGGAATCAGATGAGCAGCTACAGATTTTTTTTTTAATTGTCTAAAGGCTCTTTAAAGGAAATTTCAAAGTTTATTAGAAAAACATAAGTATCTGTGACTCGAGACATTTTTCTAAGAAAAAAAAAACCCATACATATCTTGTGTTGGGTCTTGTTACTTGCATTCTACCAATGTGGACATATAAAGATAAGTAAGACAGGTCTTAGCTCAAAAGTATATATAATTCAGATGAGAAACATACCTACAAAATTATGTTTTGCATAATTAGGTGTGAGACTGTGTAATTCAGTATTCTACAAGTAGCAAGGTTAATTAAAGGTGGAAGAGGGCTGGGCAAGGTGGCTCATGCCTGTAATCCCAGCACTTTGGGAGGCCGAGGTGGGCAGATCACGAGGTCAAGAGATTGAGACCATCCTCGTCAACATAGTGAAACCCTGTTTCTACTAAAAATACAAAAACTAGCTGGGCATCATGGCACTTGCCTATAGTCCCAGCTACGTGGGAGGCTGAGGCAGTAGAATTGCTTGAACCCTGGAGGCGGAGGTTGTGGTGAGCCAAGATCGCACCATTGCACTCCAGCCTGGGCAACAAGAGCAAAACTCC